TTTTTTTTTTTGTTCTTAGTTATCTTTTATTGCAATTATATGTTTCGATTCAGGAAAATACAAAATCAGTTCGTACTCTACCAAAACGGAATCAACGTCCAAAATCCACACGCCTTCCTTGTTCAGAAATGGGTTTAACAACACCCACATCTGTTGATTCACCAACAAAAATGACCACACGCAGCCAAGTACGGCACAATAATATAAATAATACCAGTACAAATGGAGAAATTGAAATACCGAACAAAAAAGATAAATTAAGAAAATCTCAATTTACACACCATCATCGCACATCAGGTATGAAAGAATTATAATTTATTAATTATTTTACGTTATGTGATTTGTTTGTTTAGAAATTATTGAAAATATTCTTAATGTTTTAAAATTACTTGGTGACGGTTTACAACACTTATCATTATACGAATGTCGCCAAGCTGTTGATATGTTTGAATCGATAACAACGAAACATTTAGATACACCCTATGTTCTATCAAGTCTAGCATTATCATTCTATCATTTACATGATTATCACAAAGTATGTCATAACTATAGATAACATGAAAACAAAACTGTACTATTCTTATTTTTCATCTTAATGTTTGTTAGGCATCATTGATTTATCGACAACTACGGACAAAATTTCCCTATCATATTGATGGATTAGAATATTATAGTACGGTGCTATGGCAATTGAAAGATGGCGTAGCATTAGCCACATTAGCACATGAATTAACTGAAACACATCGAAAACATCCAGCCGTAAGTTGAGAAGATTGAGTAGCGTTTTTACTCTATATTAGAACAAAAAGATCTATTTAAAAAGCGTTCGCTGACTTTTTGCACATGTTTTTCGAAATTACATCAAATATTCAACGTTTTAAGTTGGCGTCTAGTCATTTTATAAATCTTCTGACTAACGTGTGCCATTAAAGGAAACATTTAACTGTTAAAAGTGCTTAGCAGGATCAATTTTGTTTTAACTTAAGTGTTCATCATTGACTGTTTGAAGAATATTTATTATATAAATTCACTTGAAAACATTCATTTTTATGTTTAGCGCTCCTATATCGATTTGTGATTTCTGTCTATAAGATTTCAGAGGCATCCAGTTTATGGAGGATTATGGAAATGCACTTTGAACATGTCGTAGATATGTAGTTCTACTTTACCTGTTTATTATACAGTAGTAATGTTGTATTTTTCTGCAATACTGATCACTTATCTTAATCATAAGACTCCAATTTGACCGTAAGGTTTTCTGTATACGATTATACAAAGTTAAATGAGCACTAGGCATAACAATCTCGTCAAATAAATTAGGTTTGTTTTTATAAAATGTCTCCCAGTGATGAAAGTGTTCTAAGTATTCATATTGACTTAATATGGTAAATTTTTGTGTTATTATAAACCAACTTCATTGACTTGTTTACAAAAAACTGTCAAATTGTGTACGCTACAGAGTAATAACATGGTTTTCTTTTTTGTTTTTAGAGTTGGTGTGCATCGGGTAACTGTCTTAGTCTTCATCATGAATATGATAAAGCCATTCAAGCGTTCAAACGTGCCATACAAATAGCTCCAGAATCTGATTATGCTTATACATTACTTGGAAATGAATATGCTGTAATTGATGAATTGGAGCGAGCTTTGGCTTGTTTTCGTAAAGCAATACAACTGAATGGAAGAAGTTACAAAGCATGGTTTGTCTAGTGGTTATTATTCGATGTTTTTCTCTATTTTACCCTCATGTATACTTTTAGGAATGGTGTAGCTCTAGTTTATTTGAAACAAGAGAAATTTCCAAATGCTGATTTTCATTTTTCTAAAGCAGCTACCATATTTCGAACAAATCCAGATCTTATTTGTCATTGGGCTATTGTATGTAACAAATCTTAATGAGCGTCTTTTCAAATCAACTAAAAACTATCTAGTGCCCAGACAAAACACTTCTATAATATACTCTCTGGATTCTAAGAATTTTCAATCTTGCCCTATCCGGATGGTGTCATTGGATTTGGATGATTCTGACTTGACAGTACACTTCTTCAAAACCAAAGTTTTGAGCACAGGGTTTTTGGAAATATTGAAATTAGAAATATTCGCCGTTATTATTTTTTTTAAACAAGCTCAGTCGACAGACTACACTTTTAGCTATTTAAAACAGTTTTTGTTTTGGAAAAACTCAAAATTTGAAGGACTTTTGGCTGAAAGTCGAGGACTCTTAGAAGATCTTCTACGATGGCTAAACACAAAGTTCTAAAAATTTTATTATTTCATTATTTGATAGCAGACGGTATGCACCTAAAAGGTATATGGCTGTGGGTTTTGAACTCAGGCTTGATGTGCTTTTCCAGAGGTGTTTAAGAAAACTATCAATTCAAAAAATAGAAGACGTAAATATTTAGATTTTACACTTACAAGAAATAGTCCCATCGTTTTACCACAAACTGACGCAGATCCGAGATCTACAACTTGTATAGGGAATCGGTGGTACTCATTTTCTGAAGAGCTCCTTACTTTCTTTCTGTGACAGACATGGAGGATTGCGGAAACTATATGAAAACGTAGCTTATCGACCCTCCTGCTCATCATTGTGATGTTTTCTTTCTGAACGTGTACTTATCATGACTGCTAACTCTGCATTTTCCATTTGAGGCTTCCAAAAAACGATTTTACGACCTAACCTAACTTTCTATTTGTTGACAAACCAGACATGATCAGGAGGGTCGATAAGCTATGTTTCCATTTGGTTTCCGCAATCCTCCATGTCTGTTACAGAAAGAAAGTAAGGAGCTTTTCCAGAAAATGAGTACCACCGAGTATATACGTTATCTTCTATTTTTTGGATTGATAGTTTTCTTAAACACCTCTGGAAAAGCACATCAAGCCTGAGTTCAAAACCCACAGCCATATACCTTTTAGGTGCATACCGTCTGCTATCAAATAATGAAATAATAAAATTTTTAGAACTTTGTGTTTAGCCATCGTAGAAGATCTTCTAAGAGTCCTCGACTTTCAGCCAAAAGTCCTTCAAATTTTGAGTTTTTCCAAAACAAAAACTGTTTTAAATAGCTAAAAGTGTAGTCTGTCGACTGAGCTTGTTTAAAAAAAATAATAACGGCGAATATTTCTAATTTCAATATTTCCAAAAACCCTGTGCTCAAAACTTTGGTTTTGAAGAAGTGTACTGTCAAGTCAGAATCATCCAAATCCAATGACACCATCCGGATAGGGCAAGATTGAAAATTCTTATGACCCAGAGGATATGTTGCTTTGTCCATTCCTTACATGGATAGTATATATTGGAAAGACGCTCATTATCTGTAATATTGTCTTTATACAAGTGTTTGTTTTTCAGGCACAACATAAATGTCATCGATCTGAAAGTGCTCTCTCATTACTCAATGAAGCGTTAAGAATTGATCCCAAAAATGCTCTATGCAAATTCCATAAGTAATTAAAAATTTTAAATGATAAAGAAATTTATTATTGAGTATTTTGTTTAATTGTTTAGAGCTGGTCTATTACTTCATCTTGAACGTTATCATGAAGCATTGGATGAACTAGAAGAATTAAGACAAATAGCTCCGAAAGAATCTCTAGTCTATTATTTGTTAAGCAAGGTTTGTAATTTAAGTCTTAAAATTGAATATTCTATTCTTTTTGATTTGAAGATCTAAAATAGACTACTATATTTTAGGTTCATCGTCATTTAAAAAATTTTCATTATTCGTACATGTACATGTCATGGAGTATGGATTTAGATCCAAAAGGTGCTAATAATCAATTGAAAGAAAATGCTGATAAACTGTATTCAAAAGATGAAGATCTATTGTTGGGTATGGAAGAAATGGCATCGTCTATTACCGAAGATGATATGAGTCAGATGGCATCACAATCATCATTACAAGACATTCAACCGATGGATTCTAGTGATGAAATAGTTTAATTCTCTCTTTTCTCTCTCTCTCTCTCTTTCACTCTCTTTCTAATTTGTGACTTATTTTATTATTCAATATCTTGGTTTACGTACAAATTCATATTAAAAGAAAATAACTGCTGCTCAGGACTTGTGTATTCATTCGTTTTCTATTTATATAATCCTGTGCATTTAGTAAAAACGATGTGTTTTTTTTATTATGTATTTGTATTTTTTTATTATTATTGTTGTATTTAATAAAAACGAATAAGAAGCAAATTTGAATTTATTACAGATACATCTATCAAATTGTGTGCTTGTCTTTGTTGTCATTGTCCCTCTATTCCTGTTCTCCATGTTCGTTTTTGAGAAAATAAGCATTCTTCAATGTGCTTTTCCCTATTGTCTGTCTGTGTATGTTCTCTTTTCTCTTCTTTTTTTTACATATATTCATTGATTCTTCAAAAGATGATCATAACATTAACTTTAATCATTTTTCTTTTTTCTTTTTTTCCACCATATCGTGTATGAATAAAGATAAATCCACATGAAAATAGTTGCTAATAAAAACAGATATCATTTTATGGTTCAATATTTACAAACGACTAACAAATACTGTCAATCTAATAAAAGAATGATCGTAATCATTTTTTAAATAACTAGTTTTTGGTTGAAGTTGAAAATTTGAAGCCATTTAAAAAAGGAAGATTTGATTGAATCTTTTAAAATCTTTTTTGAAAGTCATTTTTTCATGTGATCTCTGGCAAAACTACTATATATTTCCAGAAGTTCAGGAAGAAATATATTCGTTATTTTACATATTTAGATAGCCAAAAGTGATCTTCTCTGATACTTAATTTTAGGTTCTTCAAAAATGGTTTGAATAAAAAAGTGTATTTTCATCAATAAAATTTTCTAAAAAATAAGCACAATTTTTGAAGATTCTCAAACTGTAGAGCAAGCATGTTTAGCATGTAAAACTGAGTATCCAATTGATTTTCAGTAGTTTGGGAATTTTTCAATATTAGATGAACATAGATACACACCAATAGCCCATACATTTTGGGGGTTACCTAATGTCATCTGAAACTAATTCTGCAGCTCGTAGGAAATCTGATGTCATATGTAAACGATGAAAAATGAAGATATCAAAGGCTAAACTTGATAGTTTTTAAGACAATCAATGATCTTATATGAATAATAACTATAGATATAAAGGATGGACCAGAATTACTGAAACAAATTGACTATTAATCACTACTGGAACGTTTCAGTAATTCAGCAAAAAAAGATACTTTTGATCACCAAATTTTTTAGCATGCATCTCACATCTTTATTTCTCAACAAAGTATAATGTACAAAAATATATTCATTGAGATTTTAACCAAATGCACAATATTTTTACAGTTTTATTTACAAAGTTAAAGCTGTGCTAACTTTGTAGGGACGCCCTTTTGCTTTTCGTTTGCCTAATGGTTGAATCGTGTTTTATCGTTAACTTGATACAAGTTAAATAAAACTGCTAATCCAACATAATGTTTACACGAATATACTAATAATGGTACAACAAGCCAACAGGATTGTTACCACACCAGAAAACTATTGAATGTATCATTGGCTAGGTCTTTATCGTTCTCATCGGTGGCTTATATTCAATAGTTTTCTGGCGTGGTAACAATCCTATTGGCTTGTTGTACCATTATTAGTATATTCGTGTAAACATTATGTTGGATTAGCAGTTTTATTTAACTTGTATCAAGTTAGCGATAAAACATGATTCAACCATTAGACAAACGAAAAGCAAAAGGGCGTCCCAAGAAAGTTAGCACAGCTTTAAATTTTTTAAATAGATATAAATAAAATTGTAAAAATATTGTTCATTTGGTTAAAATCTCAATGAATATGTTTGTGCTGTACATTATGCTTTGTTGAGAAGTAAAGATGTGAGATGCATGCTAAAAAATTTGGTGATCAAAAAAATTGATACCCAGTTCTGGTCCACCCTTGATATATCGATAATTAAAGGATGCAACATTCGAGTAAGTACGTATTTTTGAATCTTTATACTTTATGTTACTTACCTCCTTGTAATTGAATGCATTTTATATACATCCACTTGACATCAGATTGTTCTTAAAATACTGCAAAAAACTCATCAAGTTATCCATGTTCATGATGAACAGAACTTGTTTCATCAAAATCTATTTCATTCAGACGAATGAAAATCACACGAAATTCTTGACAATATTTTCTAGATAACATGGTCAGTTATAAAAGTAGTGAAACAGACGTAGAATCAATCTCATTTCAGACAGTTCACTGGGTAGTTAATTCATGTTTTTATAATCATTTTGGTTTAGTAATGCAATTTATCTATATGCAACGAGTAGGTATCAGTTTATTTGATATTAATTCAAATGATATTTTGTTTGTAAAGCAAGAGAGAATAAAAATTCCATCTTGAGTATAAAAAAAATGATGCAGTTATTCATCGTTAATAAATCTTATAGAATGAATAAAAACTATAATTGGTTTATCAGTTGCAAAAACGAATAGACCGCATTCAGAATGGTTTCAAAAGAGAGAGAGAGAATTTGTTGACCGAATACAAGAACATTTTTGGATGACATTGTACATAGTTTTGTGTTTTGTTTCGAACTTGCATTGAAGAAGAGTCTTTATGAGAAAACCATCAAAACAGGATATAATTCACATGAGAAATAACGGTTTCTTAAATTAATGGAATAATAGACAAACCTTATACGTTCATAACAATAGAATTCCATTTTGAATAAAAAAAGAAAAAGTTGGAAATTTTCTTCTCAGTTCTTACATATTTTAATCTTCATCTGTTAGTACAGTTCCAACAACTGTTCCATTCTCATCATTATCATTTTCTTGTTCATCACTGGAACTATCATCATCTTCGTTTGTTTCCGGAATACCTCGATTATAACCGTATAATAGTAAAATATTATCTGTTTGACATTTTCGTCGTTTACAACTTAATATACGTCGATTAAAAAATCGTTGAAATTCTGTTTGATGTTCAACAATATAATTTAAATGTTTTTCTAATCGATCTAATTGATGTTTATCAATTTTTTGAAATAGATTCATATCTGGAATATAAGGACTTTTTAGTTCACGTTTTTCAATTGAACAATAGAGTAAATCAAATAATGACCAAAATATTTCATTACAACGTTTTCTATTCCAATTTTTGACCACTAAATCATCGTCACATATGTAAACCATCAGAGCTTTAATAATATCTTCGTTTAATATTGAAAAACTTTGATCTAATTTGACAAGAGCAAGAAATACTTTAATAGCTTGTGCATGACGAAAATGATCTGCACGATGTAACACTTTCAAACATTTCATTTCTGATTCAATGTATGATATTCTCCATGTACGTTTTGATAACAAGTAATTATCATCATGAAACGGTGTCGAAATATAATAGGGATCATTTTTCTTAAATTTCATTCCAAAACCAAAACAAATGGTAAATAATAATTGTTCATGAAATATTTTAATTATAGGTCCATCTTTGTCTAATTCCAATGGTAACAATTTAAAAAATTCAATTGGATAAGGATCTTTTAATGCATCTTCGAATAATGAATGAGTGAGTGTAACGAGTACAGCAGGAGATAAATATTCACGATCTTTTGAACGCATAAAACCCCATGGATCATATCTTGTTAATTCTTCATCTTTCATACCTGGTATTTTAAGATATACATAGCCAGCTTTGTCTAAACGTTCTTTTTCCACCGGACGTATAGTCAATGGTATCAGGATTTTTATACGACTAACGTGAACAACTTGAAGATTTTCAAAAAATGTATCATAAAATATAGGATCATTAAATACGATACCAAAACGATTTTTACGTAAACGTGGTACCAAATCATCAAATATTAAACGACAAGCTTTTCTTACACGTATCGCATATTCTGGCCATATATCGACAACTTCATAATAAAAATCTTGTAGTGATCGTTCAAAATCATCATGATTCGAAAAACGCGATGGACAAATAGGTGGAAGAAAATCTTTATCTAAATTTGAAAGAAAGAGATACTAGTTAAATTAAATCGTATGATACCAGAGATGGGCAACTCCGGCTAAGTTTGACTCTAACTCAACTTAAAGGAGTTCAATTCCCTAACTCCAACTCCGTTTCAGCACCAACAGAAACTTATTTTGAGAGAACCAGAAGAACTACATGTTGCCATTTAACCCTTCCAGGACCGACTTATTTCGAGCGATAATTACAAATTTCTCAACTTTTCAAAAATGAATGAGATCTTAATCTACTTGAATTTATTTCTGTATCAATCTTCCTCTTTGTAGCAATCTAAGGGCCATGTATAGGGCGATAATAAAACGTTTACTTCGAAGAGACGAGAAAAAATTCGAATTCTTGTGTTAGATAACGTGAAATTTAATGACGTTTTAAAACGTCACCGGTCCCGAAAGGGTTAAAGTATTTTCTAATTTTACAGAAATATCAGCGGTTATAACAACACACGGTGTGACAAGAAGTGAATAAGAATAATCCAGTGCGTTAACATAAGGTTTCGTTTTCTTTTCTGTGTATTTCTTAAGAAATAGACATGGGAAAGGAAAAACGAGAGACTTGTTTCGATTAACTCTAATGTAATCACTACACAAAGCAATGAAATGCAAATTTTTAACTGGAGCTGTGGAGTTAGAAAACATCTTCACTCAATTCAACTCTAATCTACTAAAAACGTAACTCCAACTACACTAAAAAGAAGTCCAACTCCGTAATTGAAGTTGCCTATCTCTGTTCGTATGAACTATTAACTATTTCTTTAGTATAGATTTATTCCTTACCCCATTTGTTATTTGTCCGGAGGAATCTCAATGAATCATAACCACTATTAGAAGTAGTTGATGTTGCACGATCACCAATCATGACTTACAAATACCAGAAATTAAGAAAAAAAATGATCTTTTTTATTTGTTAACAATATTTTTGCACTTGTTAGACGATAATCCCGTTTAGAAAAAATGGCATTAATAGCCTTGAACAAATACAGTAAATAAAATAATAATATCTAATACATATTGTACATATTGTAGTTATTTTATTTGACAAAAAGTATATATTATTATTACACGGAATGGACAACATATTTAATCTTGTTCTCAAACGTACTTTTGATCATGAATTACAAAAGAAAATACGTCGGAAGACTGTGTTTGTTTTATTTTGAATAATGATCAAATATATTTAAATATGATAGAGAGAAACAATGTTAGTCAATTCATTGTTGCTATCAAGTTTTAAGTCGGTTAACATCGCTAATGACGGAAGTAAACTCTACAAGTAATTTGAGTGAAGAAAAAATGAATTCTTCACAAAATAGAAAACATGTTTTCATTTGATCCAAATAAAAATCTGACACAAGTTTCTTGAAAATTGATTGAAGTTTTCATTTTTTAGAAAAACTGAAATTAAATTTTTTTATCTAACAACAGAACTTTCACAGTGATTAATTGAATTTGTTTTTAGTAGTTTAAGTGTTCATTTTTATAAAGTATTTAATATTTCAGAAACTTTCGAATCTATAACGGTTCATCATTAACACAAAAATTTTTTAAGAATCGACCAGTTAAAAAGGGAATTGTACCGTATCAAATGATAGTGAAAATATACGACAGAAAACTCTACTATTCTTTTCTTTTTCTATGTAAATGACAGTGAATCATACAATTGAAAATTTTATCATTTCTTCTTTTCTTATAGAGAACAAAATATATTAAAACTAATATTGGTAGTGTATGGAAAGGATGAGATTTCGAAGCGACTTTTTTATGTTTTCACAATTTTGAGCAACCGATCCAAAAACTATAAATGGTAGTCATACAGGTCAATATCTATGCGACATAGGCTTACGTACATCGGATTCAGTATGGTCAAAAGCTTATAAAAAGATATATACAAATTGTTTTTAGGCCCAACGTTTCTCAAGAGATAGAGTTTTTTCGAATGTATTTTTTTCAAAACAAGAACTTAGAGTTCTTGTCATTTACACGAGTTCTCTATATTTTAATAAATGATCCATAAATAATAAGCCACTTTTATTACCTGTCTTTTTCTTTCTAGTACAAGATAAACAGATTTCTGTTTGTACTAGCCGATGGAGAATTCAATTCTCTACAAAACTACGTATTTGAGTTCAAAGTTAGTTTTGGATTTCTGACGAAGTGGTTCTAATTTTAACCGCAGCTCCAAGAAGTTCTATGAGAAACTTGCTTCTTTTTTTAATCGTTGGAAACCAGCAAAATCATGTTTCAAATAACACTTTTTGTGTTATGAAAGATTCGAAATTTCAAGCTGTATAAGATTACATAATTAAAGTCGATGAATTCTTTTAGCGTAAACTTCTGAGAGATCAATTTTGAGTCCAACTGTAGTTTTTTTCGTTTTTTTTGAATATTTCTCTACAAAAGTCGGTATTTAAATCCATAAATTCTACACCAAAAAATGTACCTGTGAAATGTAATTTCACAAAGTTTCCTTGCTTTAAAAATAGTAGCTATCTTATAATTCTTGTTTCTGTAGCAAAACTTTAAAGCTAATTTTAAACTTAAATATGTAGTTTTATAGAGAATTGAATTCGCCATCGGCCAGTACAAACACAAATCTGTTTGCCTCGTACTAGAAAGGAAAAAACAGGCGACAAACGAGGCTTATTATTTATGGACTACCGGTTAAGTCCCAGAAAGTGGAAGAAAAAGTGTAATTTTCCATTTCTAAAAAACTCAATTTCTGAAGGACTAAAACGAGAAAGAAAGCTATGATGAGTGCAAAACTCGTTTTATATCGGAGAAACAAAAACTAACTTTTTATATCTCAAAGAACTCAAATGAGTTATACAGCTGGCTCTTTAATAACGCGAAGAACACGATTTTTGTTTACTGTGTGGTTTAGTATCGCATCTACAAATATCAAGTCTTAACTATCAGTCGTTTTCACCACTTGATCTAACAGCCTTACATACTCTATTTGTATCCAAAATATTAATAAATTCATATGATGATCCAATTAGGTTTGAACACATCAACAAATAACTATTAGTGGATTATCACCTTGGACACAACTTTCTATTCTAAACTATTAAATTATGGTATTTTGTCTGCTCAGATAGGTAGACGTATCAATACTAATCGAAACTTCCACCCATTTATTATTATATTAACTGGAGCATCTGACGCTGCTCGCTGATACTGACGTCAAACTATTCAAAAATATTTATTTAAAATAACAAAACAAAAGTGCTCATATAGGTTTTCAGTCAATGGATGAAGACTGCTTCTAAATGTTTCATGATGAACGGTAGATGACTGATATTGACATGTTCTACCATCATCTTTATGTAAACAATACAATGTTTCATTATGGCTTGCCGCCTTGTACATGTAGCCTTGTATATAAATACAGTATTTGTGAGAATAATGATTAGTAGATATGCATCGAGCCCAACTACTTGGACTCGGTTACTACTCATGAAGGCCCACATTTTGAAATTAGTTGTTTCGTTGTACATGGCCTTCTTCTGTCCTGAAACAATGATGGAAGACTCTTTTCAGCTCTCAGATTATATTTAATTCAACGAAATAATTTTTGGTGTTTTTTTATTGTTTATCATGGTTCATAGTAGCATAGAGTCATGAAAATAGGTAAAAGCCGACAGAAGTTGAGGGGAAAGACCGATCGATTCGATTTTTCCTTTAAATACTTGAAAAAACAAGAGCTTTTTAAAGAGTTTTTTGTCAAAAATCCTCACAGTCAATGTCATATTAACAATCAACGTTAAAAATTATCTCCTATATTAGTTTCAACGATCTACGCTACTAAGTTAATCACAATGCAGTTATTTCTCGCGTCAGAAACATCTGGAAAATAGATTCAAAAAGAGTCTTTCATAGAGATGTACAAATAGAAAAAAAAATCATGAATTTCTGAAATAAAAACAGCGAACGTTTTGATGGCAGATATCTACAAAAGTTTTTGTACGAACACACACGTCAATAACTTTTAAAGGGAAAGTTTCATTTAAAAATATTCAAACTTAAATGTTGAACCTATTCTCAGTGGCGCAATGACACAGTATTCCTGCAGCAAGAAAAACTCCGTGAGATAGAAAACATTAGTTCTTTTCGTTTTATTAATTTAAAAATATAGGAACAGATCAACATAATATATAGTTTCACCTTAATATTGCAAATGAGAAGAAAAATTACAATATTAATTTGATATGTTTTGTTTTAGCAAATTTAGAATCGACATGTACCGAGATAAAACAAATGTTGTATGTCAATAATTCATAATAACTATCAATTTATCTGTGTTTCAAACATTCAAAACATGTTGTCATAGAAACTGTGCATTAAAATTTTGAACTTTCAAAAAACACCCGTTGTCACCATGACTAAACCATCAATATTTATCAATGTTGATTAGATTTTTCCATATCGTTTGTTTGTATTAACAACCATTTTTTGAAACAAAGATCCGCCACGAGCGATAATTTTGCCGGTTTTGTTGAAAAACGAGCAACAAAATTGTCGACTACTGCCATGTTAGATCGTTTGAAAAATTTTATATTAAAAACGTTACGTTTTGCTATTCTAACGGGAGGAACAACATCGGCAATTTATGCTCTACTAGCACTACCTCGACTTCTTGAAAAAGAGCATACGTTGGAAAATACCATTCGCAAACGTTTATCATTAGAAAAATTGATTAGTTCTCAAAATGAAGAAGATGAGATGATGAAAAAAGCTGTTCTAGAATTAAGAAGCAAGCAGAAATTATTGAAAACGTTGTACTATAAATTGAATAGACAAGAAGCAAATTTAAGTCAAACTGTGTATAAATATATCAAAGAATGTGAATGTGATTCAGAATTCTCTCAGCAACCACATCAACTTCATGTAAATGACAGGGAACAAGATTCATCAACACTTGGCGCACACGACAACCAAGAGGATTTATTAATAGAAGAAGTGGATGAACATCATCGAGAGAAACAAAATCATCAAGCGGGTGATGGTGGAAAATATGTCGTTTTACAAAAATCGATTACGGCCATGCACATTTCATCTATGACATTCACAGACGATACCTTAGCAAGTTTAACAGGACCAATGAGAGAAAAGCAACAACATAATTTATTAGCAAAAATGTTTAAAAAAAAATCAAAATATATCGGAGCCAGTGGAGATCAATAAAATTTCGCACTGCTGTTGTATAATATGAACTAGGTCTAATAAAAAAGATTATAGTTCTACCATCCACTAACATCCAGAGAGTAAATCAGAAAGTCTCGGTGTCGTATTGTCATGTTAGATTAGAGTTCACATTTCACACGGAAACATTTTCAAAAGTTCTCTTGCTTTTTCCTTGACATCTACGTGAATATAGACTATTTTTCTTTTTTATAGGTTACTTTTTTATCGTAGAAAGTCAGAGTTTTTGAAGAAAGAGTAGCAGTTTAAAGATTTAAGTCTTAGTTACATTTCTTTCTAACCGACGATTATTGATGAAAAACGGTTCATTCGCAAACAAATTTTAATGTGCACATGCTGTACTAAAAATGCACATTGTACACTCCTGTTTATATTATAAAAAACTGTATTTAACTATAATTCATAGTCTGTTATGAGACATCACCACTCTTCTGATTGAGAAAAGCATCAACCAGTAATTTATTGATAGTTGGTATCTATATGTTTCCGAATGAGTCCAGTCCAATCCGGATATTTTGACAAAGAACTGTTTAATTTATTTAGAGCTTTCTCTTGTTCTACAAGTGCAAAATTATTTTTAAATCGGAGTTTAAATGTTGTTGTCGGAGGCGTCCTTAACCAAAGAACGGAGTAGTATTATACTTATGTTGAAATAATCAATGGGTAAAGGTAAAACCCTTGATCTAGGTCAAGCATGCACATGATGAAGTGATATTTTCACGTTGTATAACATTAAAAGCTCTAAATAAATTAAACAGTTCTTTGTCAAAATATCCGGATTGGACTGGACTCATTCGGAAACATATAGATACCAACTATCAATAAATTACTGGTTGATGCTTTTCTCAATCAGAAGAGTGGTGATGTCTCATAACAGACTATGAATTATAGTTAAATACAGTTTTTTATAATATAAACAGGAGTGTACAATGTGCATTTTTAGTACAGCATGTGCACATTAAAATTTGTTTGCGAATGAACCGTTTTTCATCAATAATCGTCGGTTAGAAAGAAATGTAACTAAGACTTAAATCTTTAAACTGCTACTCTTTCTTCAAAAACTCTGACTTTCTACGATAAAAAAGTAACCTATAAAAAAGAAAAATAGTCTATATTCACGTAGATGTCAAGGAAAAAGCAAGAGAACTTTTGAAAATGTTTCCGTGTGAAATGTGAACTCTAATCTAACATGACAATACGACACCGAGACTTTCTGATTTACTCTCTGGATGTTAGTGGATGGTAGAACTATAATCTTTTTTATTAGACCTAGTTCATATTATACAACAGCAGTGCGAAATTTTATTGATCTCCACTGGCTCCGATATATTTTGATTTTTTTTTAAACATTTTTGCTAATAAATTATGTTGTTGCTTTTCTCTCATTGGTCCTGTTAAACTTGCTAAGGTATCGTCTGTGAATGTCATAGATGAAATGTGCATGGCCGTAATCGATTTTTGTAAAACGACATATTTTCCACCATCACCCGCTTGATGATTTTGTTTCTCTCGATGATGTTCATCCACTTCTTCTATTAATAAATCCTCTTGGTTGTCGTGTGCGCCAAGTGTTGATGAATCTTGTTCCCTGTCATTTACATGAAGTTGATGTGGTTGCTGAGAGAATTCTGAATCACATTCACATTCTTTGATATATTTATACACAGTTTGACTTAAATTTGCTTCTTGTCTATTCAATTTATAGTACAACGTTTTCAATAATTTCTGCTTGCTTCTTAATTCTAGAACAGCTTTTTTCATCATCTCATCTTCTTCATTTTGAGAACTAATCAATTTTTCTAATGATAAACGTTTGCGAATGGTATTTTCCAACGTATGCTCTTTTTCAAGAAGTCGAGGTAGTGCTAGTAGAGCATAAATTGCCGATGTTGTTCCTCCCGTTAGAATAGCAAAACGTAACGTTTTTAATATAAAATTTTTCAAACGATCTAACATGGCAGTAGTCGACAATTTTGTTGCTCGTTTTTCAACAAAACCGGCAAAATTATCGCTCGTGGCGGATCTTTGTTTCAAAAAATGGTTGTTAATACAAACAAACGATATGGAAAAATCTAATCAACATTGATAAATATTGATGGTTTAGTCATGGTGACAACGGGTGTTTTTTGAAAGTTCAAAATTTTAATGCACAGTTTCTATGACAACATGTTTTGAATGTTTGAAACACAGATAAATTGATAGTTATTATGAATTATTGACATACAACATTTGTTTTATCTCGGTACATGTCGATTCTAAATTTGCTAAAACAAAACATATCAAATTAATATTGTAATTTTTCTTCTCATTTGCAATATTAAGGTGAAACTATATATTATGTTGATCTGTTCCTATATTTTTAAATTAATAAAACGAAAAGAACTAATGTTTTCTATCTCACGGAGTTTTTCTTGCTGCAGGAATACTGTGTCATTGCGCCACTGAGAATAGGTTCAACATTTAAGTTTGAATATTTTTAAATGAAACTTTCCCTTTAAAAGTTATTGACGTGTGTGTTCGTACAAAAACTTTTGTAGATATCTGCCATCAAAACGTTCGCTGTTTTTATTTCAGAAATTCATGATTTTTTTTTCTATTTGTACATCTCTATGAAAGACTCTTTTTGAATCTATTTTCCAGATGTTTCTGACGCGAGAAATAACTGCATTGTGATTAACTTAGTAGCGTAGATCGTTGAAACTAATATAGGAGATAATTTTTAACGTTGATTGTTAATATGACATTGACTGTGAGGATTTTTGACAAAAAACTCTTTAAAAAGCTCTTGTTTTTTCAAGTATTTAAAGGAAAAATCGAATCGATCGGTCTTTCCCCTCAACTTCTGTCGGCTTTTACCTATTTTCATGACTCTATGCTACTATGAACCATGATAAACAATAAAAAAACACCAAAAATTATTTCGTTGAATTAAATATAATCTGAGAGCTGAAAAGAGTCTTCCATCATTGTTTCAGGACAGAAGAAGGCCATGTACAACGAAACAACTAATTTCAAAATGTGGGCCTTCATGAGTAGTAACCGAGTCCAAGTAGTTGGGCTCGATGCATATCTACTAATCATTATTCTCACAAATACTGTATTTATATACAAGGCTACATGTACAAGGCGGCAAGCCATAATGAAACATTGTATTGTTTACATAAAGATGATGGTAGAACATGTCAATATCAGTCATCTACCGTTCATCATGAAACATTTAGAAGCAGTCTTCATCCATTGACTGAAAACCTATATGAGCACTTTTGTTTTGTTATTTTAAATAAATATTTTTGAATAGTTTGACGTCAGTATCAGCGAGCAGCGTCAGATGCTCCAGTTAATATAATAATAAATGGGTGGAAGTTTCGATTAGTATTGATACGTCTACCTATCTGAGCAGACAAAATACCATAATTTAATAGTTTAGAATAGAAAGTTGTGTCCAAGGTGATAATCCACTAATAGTTATTTGTTGATGTGTTCAAACCTAATTGGATCATCATATGAATTTATTAATATTTTGGATACAAATAGAGTATGTAAGGCTGTTAGATCAAGTGGTGAAAACGACTGATAGTTAAGACTTGATATTTGTAGATGCGATACTAAACCACACAGTAAACAAAAATCGTGTTCTTCGCGTTATTAAAGAGCCAGCTGTATAACTCATTTGAGTTCTTTGAGATATAAAAAGTTAGTTTTTGTTTCTCCGATATAAAACGAGTTTTGCACTCATCATAGCTTTCTTTCTCGTTTTAGTCCTTCAGAAATTGAGTTTTTTAGAAATGGAAAATTACACTTTTTCTTCCACTTTCTGGGACTTAACCGGTAGTCCATAAATAATAAGCCTCGTTTGTCGCCTGTTTTTTCCTTTCTAGTACGAGGCAAACAGATTTGTGTTTGTACTGGCCGATGGCGAATTCAATTCTCTATAAAACTACATATTTAAGTTTAAAATTAGCTTTAAAGTTTTGCTACAGAAACAAGAATTATAAGATAGCTACTATTTTTAAAGCAAGGAAACTTTGTGAAATTACATTTCACAGGTACATTTTTTGGTGTAGAATTTATGGATTTAAATACCGACTTTTGTAGAGAAATATTCAAAAAAAACGAAAAAAACTACAGTTGGACTCAAAATTGATCTCTCAGAAGTTTACGCTAAAAGAATTCATCGACTTTAATTATGTAATCTTATACAGCTTGAAATTTCGAATCTTTCATAACACAAAAAGTGTTATTTGAAACATGATTTTGCTGGTTTCCAACGATTAAAAAAAGAAGCAAGTTTCTCATAGAACTTCTTGGAGCTGCGGTTAAAATTAGAACCACTTCGTCAGAAATCCAAAACTAACTTTGAACTCAAATACGTAGTTTTGTAGAGAATTGAATTCTCCATCGGCTAGTACAAACAGAAATCTGTTTATCTTGTACTAGAAAGAAAAAGACAGGTAATAAAAGTGGCTTATTATTTATGGATCATTTATTAAAATATAGAGAACTCGTGTAAATGACAAGAACTCTAAGTTCTTGTTTTGAAAAAAATACATTCGAAAAAACTCTATCTCTTGAGAAACGTTGGGCCTAAAAACAATTTGTATATATCTTTTTATAAGCTTTTGACCATACTGAATCCGATGTACGTAAGCCTATGTCGCATAGATATTGACCTGTATGACTACCATTTATAGTTTTTGGATCGGTTGCTCAAAATTGTGAAAACATAAAAAAGTCGCTTCGAAATCTCATCCTTTCCATACACTACCAATATTAGTTTTAATATATTTTGTTCTCTATAAGAAAAGAAGAAATGATAAAATTTTCAATTGTATGATTCACTGTCATTTACATAGAAAAAGAAAAGAATAGTAGAGTTTTCTGTCGTATATTTTCACTATCATTTGATACGGTACAATTCCCTTTTTAACTGGTCGATTCTTAAAAAATTTTTGTGTTAATGATGAACCGTTATAGATTCGAAAGTTTCTGAAATATTAAATACTTTATAAAAATGAACACTTAAACTACTAAAAACAAATTCAATTAATCACTGTGAAAGTTCTGTTGTTAGATAAAAAAATTTAATTTCAGTTTTTCTAAAAAATGAAAACTTCAATCAATTTTCAAGAAACTTGTGTCAGATTTTTATTTGGATCAAATGAAAACATGTTTTCTATTTTGTGAAGAATTCATTTTTTCTTCACTCAAATTACTTGTAGAGTTTACTTCCGTCATTAGCGATGTTAACCGACTTAAAACTTGATAGCAACAATGAATTGACTAACATTGTTTCTCTCTATCATATTTAAATATATTTGATCATTATTCAAAATAAAACAAACACAGTCTTCCGACGTATTTTCTTTTGTAATTCATGATCAAAAGTACGTTTGAGAACAAGATTAAATATGTTGTCCATTCCGTGTAATAATAATATATACTTTTTGTCAAATAAAATAACTACAATATGTACAATATGTATTAGATATTATTATTTTATTTACTGTATTTGTTCAAGGCTATTAATGCCATTTTTTCTAAACGGGATTATCGTCTAACAAGTGCAAAAATATTGTTAACAAATAAAAAAGATCATTTTTTTTCTTAATTTCTGGTATTTGTAAGTCATGATTGGTGATCGTGCAACATCAACTACTTCTAATAGTGGTTATGATTCATTGAGATTCCTCCGGACAAATAACAAATGGGGTAAGGAATAAATCTATACTAAAGAAATAGTTAATAGTTCATACGAACAGAGATAGGCAACTTCAATTACGGAGTTGGACTTCTTTTTAGTGTAGTTGGAGTTACGTTTTTAGTAGATTAGAGTTGAATTGAGTGAAGATGTTTTCTAACTCCACAGCTCCAGTTAAAAATTTGCATTTCATTGCTTTGTGTAGTGATTACATTAGAGTTAATCGAAACAAGTCTCTCGTTTTTCCTTTCCCATGTCTATTTCTTAAGAAATACACAGAAAAGAAAACGAAACCTTATGTTAACGCACTGGATTATTCTTATTCACTTCTTGTCACACCGTGTGTTGTTATAACCGCTGATATTTCTGTAAAATTAGAAAATACTTTAACCCTTTCGGGACCGGTGACGTTTTAAAACGTCATTAAATTTCACGTTATCTAACACAAGAATTCGAATTTTTTCTCGTCTCTTCGAAGTAAACGTTTTATTATCGCCCTATACATGGCCCTTAGATTGCTACAAAGAGGAAGATTGATACAGAAATAAATTCAAGTAGATTAAGATCTCATTCATTTTTGAAAAGTTGAGAAATTTGTAATTATCGCTCGAAATAAGTCGGTCCTGGAAGGGTTAAATGGCAACATGTAGTTCTTCTGGTTCTCTCAAAATAAGTTTCTGTTGGTGCTGAAACGGAGTTGGAGTTAGGGAATTGAACTCCTTTAAGTTGAGTTAGAGTCAAACTTAGCCGGAGTTGCCCATCTCTGGTATCATACGATTTAATTTAACTAGTATCTCTTTCTTTCAAATTTAGATAAAGATTTTCTTCCACCTATTTGTCCATCGCGTTTTTCGAATCATGATGATTTTGAACGATCACTACAAGATTTTTATTATGAAGTTGTCGATATATGGCCAGAATATGCGATACGTGTAAGAAAAGCTTGTCGTTTAATATTTGATGATTTGGTACCACGTTTACGTAAAAATCGTTTTGGTATCGTATTTAATGATCCTATATTTTATGATACATTTTTTGAAAATCTTCAAGTTGTTCACGTTAGTCGTATAAAAATCCTGATACCATTGACTATACGTCCGGTGGAAAAAGAACGTTTAGACAAAGCTGGCTATGTATATCTTAAAATACCAGGTATGAAAGATGAAGAATTAACAAGATATGATCCATGGGGTTTTATGCGTTCAAAAGATCGTGAATATTTATCTCCTGCTGTACTCGTTACACTCACTCATTCATTATTCGAAGATGCATTAAAAGATCCTTATCCAATTGAATTTTTTAAATTGTTACCATTGGAATTAGACAAAGATGGACCTATAATTAAAATATTTCATGAACAATTATTATTTACCATTTGTTTTGGTTTTGGAATGAAATTTAAGAAAAATGATCCCTATTATATTTCGACACCGTTTCATGATGATAATTACTTGTTATCAAAACGTACATGGAGAATATCATACATTGAATCAGAAATGAAATGTTTGAAAGTGTTACATCGTGCAGATCATTTTCGTCATGCACAAGCTATTAAAGTATTTCTTGCTCTTGTCAAATTAGATCAAAGTTTTTCAATATTAAACGAAGATATTATTAAAGCTCTGATGGTTTACATATGTGACGATGATTTAGTGGTCAAAAATTGGAATAGAAAACGTTGTAATGAAATATTTTGGTCATTATTTGATTTACTCTATTGTTCAATTGAAAAACGTGAACTAAAAAGTCCTTATATTCCAGATATGAATCTATTTCAAAAAATTGATAAACATCAATTAGATCGATTAGAAAAACATTTAAATTATATTGTTGAACATCAAACAGAATTTCAACGATTTTTTAATCGACGTATATTAAGTTGTAAACGACGAAAATGTCAAACAGATAATATTTTACTATTATACGGTTATAATCGAGGTATTCCGGAAACAAACGAAGATGATGATAGTTCCAGTGATGAACAAGAAAATGATAATGATGAGAATGGAACAGTTGTTGGAACTGTACTAACAGATGAAGATTAAAATATGTAAGAACTGAGAAGAAAATTTCCAACTTTTTCTTTTTTTATTCAAAATGGAATTCTATTGTTATGAACGTATAAGGTTTGTCTATTATTCCATTAATTTAAGAAACCGTTATTTCTCATGTGAATTATATCCTGTTTTGATGGTTTTCTCATAAAGACTCTTCTTCAATGCAAGTTCGAAACAAAACACAAAACTATGTACAATGTCATCCAAAAATGTTCTTGTATTCGGTCAACAAATTCTCTCTCTCTCTTTTGAAACCATTCTGAATGCGGTCTATTCGTTTTTGCAACTGATAAACCAATTATAGTTTTTATTCATTCTATAAGATTTATTAACGATGAATAACTGCATCATTTTTTTTATACTCAAGATGGAATTTTTATTCTCTCTTGCTTTACAAACAAAATATCATTTGAATTAATATCAAATAAACTGATACCTACTCGTTGCATATAGATAAATTGCATTACTAAACCAAAATGATTATAAAAACATGAATTAACTACCCAGTGAACTGTCTGAAATGAGATTGATTCTACGTCTGTTTCACTACTTTTATAACTGACCATGTTATCTAGAAAATATTGTCAAGAATTTCGTGTGATTTTCATTCGTCTGAATGAAATAGATTTTGATGAAACAAGTTCTGTTCATCATGAACATGGATAACTTGATGAGTTTTTTGCAGTATTTTAAGAACAATCTGATGTCAAGTGGATGTATATAAAATGCATTCAATTACAAGGAGGTAAGTAACATAAAGTATAAAGATTCAAAAATACGTACTTACTCGAATGTTGCATCCTTTAATTATCGATATATCAAGGGTGGACCAGAACTGGGTATCAATTTTTTTGATCACCAAATTTTTTAGCATGCATCTCACATCTTTACTTCTCAACAAAGCATAATGTACAGCACAAACATATTCATTGAGATTTTAACCAAATGAACAATATTTTTACAATTTTATTTATATCTATTTAAAAAATTTAAAGCTGTGCTAACTTTCTTGGGACGCCCTTTTGCTTTTCGTTTGTCTAATGGTTGAATCATGTTTTATCGCTAACTTGATACAAGTTAAATAAAACTGCTAATCCAACATAATGTTTACACGAATATACTAATAATGGTACAACAAGCCAATAGGATTGTTACCACGCCAGAAAACTATTGAATATAAGCCACCGATGAGAACGATAAAGACCTAGCCAATGATACATTCAATAGTTTTCTGGTGTGGTAACAATCCTGTTGGCTTGTTGTACCATTATTAGTATATTCGTGTAAACATTATGTTGGATTAGCAGTTTTATTTAACTTGTATCAAGTTAACGATAAAACACGATTCAACCATTAGGCAAACGAAAAGCAAAAGGGCGTCCCTACAAAGTTAGCACAGCTTTAACTTTGTAAATAAAACTGTAAAAATATTGTGCATTTGGTTAAAATCTCAATGAATATATTTTTGTACATTATACTTTGTTGAGAAATAAAGATGTGAGATGCATGCTAAAAAATTTGGTGATCAAAAGTATCTTTTTTTGCTGAATTACTGAAACGTTCCAGTAGTGATTAATAGTCAATTTGTTTCAGTAATTCTGGTCCATCCTTTATATCTATAGTTATTATTCATATAAGATCATTGATTGTCTTAAAAACTATCAAGTTTAGCCTTTGATATCTTCATTTTTCATCGTTTACATATGACATCAGATTTCCTACGAGCTGCAGAATTAGTTTCAGATGACATTAGGTAACCCCCAAAATGTATGGGCTATTGGTGTGTATCTATGTTCATCTAATATTGAAAAATTCCCAAACTACTGAAAATCAATTGGATACTCAGTTTTACATGCTAAACATGCTTGCTCTACAGTTTGAGAATCTTCAAAAATTGTGCTTATTTTTTAGAAAATTTTATTGATGAAAATACACTTTTTTATTCAAACCATTTTTGAAGAACCTAAAATTAAGTATCAGAGAAGATCACTTTTGGCTATCTAAATATGTAAAATAACGAATATATTTCTTCCTGAACTTCTGGAAATATATAGTAGTTTTGCCAGAGATCACATGAAAAAATGACTTTCAAAAAAGATTTTAAAAGATTCAATCAAATCTTCCTTTTTTAAATGGCTTCAAATTTTCAACTTCAACCAAAAACTAGTTATTTAAAAAATGATTACGATCATTCTTTTATTAGATTGACAGTATTTGTTAGTCGTTTGTAAATATTGAACCATAAAATGATATCTGTTTTTATTAGCAACTATTTTCATGTGGATTTATCTTTATTCATACACGATATGGTGGAAAAAAAGAAAAAAGAAAAATGATTAAAGTTAATGTTATGATCATCTTTTGAAGAATCAATGAATATATGTAAAAAAAAGAAGAGAAAAGAGAACATACACAGACAGACAATAGGGAAAAGCACATTGAAGAATGCTTATTTTCTCAAAAACGAACATGGAGAACAGGAATAGAGGGACAATGACAACAAAGACAAGCACACAATTTGATAGATGTATCTGTAATAAATTCAAATTTGCTTCTTATTCGTTTTTATTAAATACAACAATAATAATAAAAAAATACAAATACATAATAAAAAAAACACATCGTTTTTACTAAATGCACAGGATTATATAAATAGAAAACGAATGAATACACAAGTCCTGAGCAGCAGTTATTTTCTTTTAATATGAATTTGTACGTAAACCAAGATATTGAATAATAAAATAAGTCACAAATTAGAAAGAGAGTGAAAGAGAGAGAGAGAGAGAAAAGAGAGAATTAAACTATTTCATCACTAGAATCCATCGGTTGAATGTCTTGTAATGATGATTGTGATGCCATCTGACTCATATCATCTTCGGTAATAGACGATGCCATTTCTTCCATACCCAACAATAGATCTTCATCTTTTGAATACAGTTTATCAGCATTTTCTTTCAATTGATTATTAGCACCTTTTGGATCTAAATCCATACTCCATGACATGTACATGTACGAATAATGAAAATTTTTTAAATGACGATGAACCTAAAATATAGTAGTCTATTTTAGATCTTCAAATCAAAAAGAATAGAATATTCAATTTTAAGACTTAAATTACAAACCTTGCTTAACAAATAATAGACTAGAGATTCTTTCGGAGCTATTTGTCTTAATTCTTCTAGTTCATCCAATGCTTCATGATAACGTTCAAGATGAAGTAATAGACCAGCTCTAAACAATTAAACAAAATACTCAATAATAAATTTCTTTATCATTTAAAATTTTTAATTACTTATGGAATTTGCATAGAGCATTTTTGGGATCAATTCTTAACGCTTCATTGAGTAATGAGAGAGCACTTTCAGATCGATGACATTTATGTTGTGCCTGAAAAACAAACACTTGTATAAAGACAATATTACAGATAATGAGCGTCTTTCCAATATATACTATCCATGTAAGGAATGGACAAAGCAACATATCCTCTGGGTCATAAGAATTTTCAATCTTGCCCTATCCGGATGGTGTCATTGGATTTGGATGATTCTGACTTGACAGTACACTTCTTCAAAACCAAAGTTTTGAGCACAGGGTTTTTGGAAATATTGAAATTAGAAATATTCGCCGTTATTATTTTTTTTAAACAAGCTCAGTCGACAGACTACACTTTTAGCTATTTAAAACAGTTTTTGTTTTGGAAAAACTCAAAATTTGAAGGACTTTTGGCTGAAAGTCGAGGACTCTTAGAAGATCTTCTACGATGGCTAAACACAAAGTTCTAAAAATTTTATTATTTCATTATTTGATAGCAGACGGTATGCACCTAAAAGGTATATGGCTGTGGGTTTTGAACTCAGGCTTGATGTGCTTTTCCAGAGGTGTTTAAGAAAACTATCAATCCAAAAAATAGAAGATAACGTATATACTCGGTGGTACTCATTTTCTGGAAAAGCTCCTTACTTTCTTTCTGTAACAGACATGGAGGATTGCGGAAACCAAATGGAAACATAGCTTATCGACCCTCCTGATCATGTCTGGTTTGTCAACAAATAGAAAGTTAGGTTAGGTCGTAAAATCGTTTTTTGGAAGCCTCAAATGGAAAATGCAGAGTTAGCAGTCATGATAAGTACACGTTCAGAAAGAAAACATCACAATGATGAGCAGGAGGGTCGATAAGCTACGTTTTCATATAGTTTCCGCAATCCTCCATGTCTGTCACAGAAAGAAAGTAAGGAGCTCTTCAGAAAATGAGTACCACCGATTCCCTATACAAGTTGTAGATCTCGGATCTGCGTCAGTTTGTGGTAAAACGATGGGACTATTTCTTGTAAGTGTAAAATCTAAATATTTACGTCTTCTATTTTTTGAATTGATAGTTTTCTTAAACACCTCTGGAAAAGCACATCAAGCCTGAGTTCAAAACCCACAGCCATATACCTTTTAGGTGCATACCGTCTGCTATCAAATAATGAAATAATAAAATTTTTAGAACTTTGTGTTTAGCCATCGTAGAAGATCTTCTAAGAGTCCTCGACTTTCAGCCAAAAGTCCTTCAAATTTTGAGTTTTTCCAAAACAAAAACTGTTTTAAATAGCTAAAAGTGTAGTCTGTCGACTGAGCTTGTTTAAAAAAAATAATAACGGCGAATATTTCTAATTTCAATATTTCCAAAAACCCTGTGCTCAAAACTTTGGTTTTGAAGAAGTGTACTGTCAAGTCAGAATCATCCAAATCCAATGACACCATCCGGATAGGGCAAGATTGAAAATTCTTAGAATCCAGAGAGTATATTATAGAAGTGTTTTGTCTGGGCACTAGATAGTTTTTAGTTGATTTGAAAAGACGCTCATTAAGATTTGTTACATACAATAGCCCAATGACAAATAAGATCTGGATTTGTTCGAAATATGGTAGCTGCTTTAGAAAAATGAAAATCAGCATTTGGAAATTTCTCTTGTTTCAAATAAACTAGAGCTACACCATTCCTA